TTAACACACCTTGATTTTAATAGTAAGCTCTTCATTTCCAGCAAGCGCATCTTCATTGGTGAGGGACAACAACCGGATCTTATCCAAGGCATCGGAAGCATTAGAGATCAGCTCTCGAAGGAAGATCTTTAGGATGAAAAACAAAGAATTAGGATGCGTTGATCTTGTGTACAATTTGTAAAAACTTGATGAACGGCATAAGTTCTAATAACTCACCTCCTTATTCTTATACAAGGAATTGATGATCAGTTTCATCATCCTGTTCACCTCCGCCTGGAACGCATGCTTTTCTGCCTTTTCCCGGATTTCTTTTATTTGCGAGGCGTTCAAACCATCTAGCTGAACGGCTTCCTCCTCCCTGTTGGAGAAAAGATGGAATCATGTTAAAGTGCAAAGGATGTTTGTTACATGTTCATTCCTCAAGGGACTTATTGCCATTTACCCTTGGGTATTGTGGAACAAGACAAATGCATCAACCAGATGTCCAACCCCCTTTGGGGATCACTTGTGGTTTTTGTGAGGAGCTAAAAGTGACCTCTTAAGAGATAAACAAATGTGTTTTATTAAGCTAAAAGTAGCAGGCAGGATTAGTTTTGAGGTTTTATTTACCCCACTTTAAGATCCGAGTCTAAATGAAGGGTCACAAAGTGAGAGGAACATTTCTCTAAAATGAATGAAGTTCGAATCAGTCAAGTGCAAGTTCAAGTCCATACAGACCTCTGAACAGCCTCATCATCTGTGCGGGATCCGTCTCTGCTCTTCCCAAGGTCCTCTTCTACTGTGCCGTCAATGTCAACGTCGTCATCAGCTTTCACAGATGCTGCAATTATGCAAAACATAAGATTAAAGCAAAACCACAATTAATGTGAATGTGACGTTGATGATAAAAAGCACTTTAAAGCCATACAGAATCTATGGTGTTACTCAATAACTTGATGATATAACACACAGCACCAAAATACAACTTTTATTTGGATCACAAGTGTTTCATAACTTAATTCCTAAGTATATTTGCTCAGCAAAAGACTCTATTGTGCCCAGCAAGGCTGTTAGTTCATTGTACGCGAATATGCACTGCATGTGAAGTTAAATGTAATTAGAATTGCCCAGGTTAGGCTCTCCACATCTGAAACGTGCAAATGCACTTTTTTGATCCAGTAGATCTCAGCTAGACAGTTAAAGGCCTTGATGTGACAATTAAAGATGTTTCAAGATCCTTGGTTAAATTCTTCTCTAAATGTGCATTTAATATGAATTATTTTGTTTCACTCTTGCATGACTATTTTCCATTTTAAAAAATCGTACATTACTAGTACGATTACATAATTTCAATGCAATTCACCGTTTTAAGACACCATATAACTGTATATTAATAAATTGGATATTATCATACGAAGGCCATTTCAATCTTAAGGAAACTTCCAGAAGCACATGCGAGTCAAATCCGCTCTCCATGTTTTATGTCCTGTTCTGAATCATCCATCCATTTAGGAAGCGTTAACATATATACACAAAGTATTATTATTTAAAAAAATGAAAATATAAAACTAATGCTTAACGATACATAGCAAAAAGAGGAAGCACACAAAGACAGCAGCATTACTGCAAACACTCACTGAAGCTGAAGGCATCAAACTGCATAACGCGGTGCATTTCATGGCCATTTAATAAAACGTACTCACCGAATGCCAAAAGTGCACAGAGGAGACCGACAATCCACAGTCGCCTCATTGTTTTTGGAAGAAAAAAAAAGACTCAATAGCAGATTAACGCCTTGAGCAGTCGCCGCGCCCTCCACGCCTCGATGAACTCTTGCAGTGCGTAGAGCTAGAGTGAGAAGTCGGCTTTATAAACTCCAGCGCTCTATGGTTGAACTCAGCCGGTATGAGCCAATCACAGCACCCCACGCACAACACCGCACCAATCAGAGAGCGATCCGCAGCAGCTGCCCTCCAATCACCGACTTACATGTCCGATTTTACACGGTCCAATCGTGGCTCGCATTGATTGGCTCGACGGGATGCCAGTTCATAGAGCGAGCGTTCTAAGGGGATTTCGTCAGAGACCGTGACAGCTGATCTGGGGACGGTGTGGGTTTTGTTTACTGCTTTGAACGGGTTGAGGGAAACGGAAC